GTGCTTGCAAAAAAATGCATGGAGGACACGACAGAGGAGAACCGCAAAATATACTCAAGACAGAGGAATAAATACGTAGGAATTCGAAGAGAAGCAGAGAAGCATCATCATGATAATAATATAAGACCCAAGGGCAAAGATCAGCCTAAAGTATTATATAGCCACACCAAGAGGAAGGTTACCTTGAGGTTACCTTGAGGTGCTTCCGGGGCTTAGCGTCCCCGCGGCCCGGTCGTCGACCAGGCCTCCAGCAGAGAAGACGACGGCAAGTGAACAAGTGATCAGGATACGCAAATGAGAAGAAAGCGACACAAAGAATGATTAGGAAGTGTACAAAAGAACTCCAAAAAAGTCTTTAGAAAGTCTTAAATATGAAAACACAGCTGTTGTCCCCAGATCTACAACCTCTAACGGAACAGACGCTACCGGAAGAAACACTGATCGTAATATAATTAACACTAGAGGAAATAAAGAAACAATTAGAGCAGCTGGAGATGGTGAGAGCCCCCAGGACCTGACAAGATCTCCCCCTGGACACTAGAGGACGCAGCGGCAGCACTGTGTGAACCCCCTTACTATAGCTGTTAACTCCTCACTAGCAATGGGGGAACTGTCTGACATGAAGATAGTGGCAAATGTGGTACCTACATACAAAAAAGAGGCAGAAAGGAGTCTCTTAACTACAGCTCGGTATCACTAACAAATATTTCCTGTAAGATGCTAAAGAGAAACAAATTAAAAGAAGGGTCGTTGATTATTTAGAATACATAAGTTTTGTTTCAAGCATCAACATGGATTCAAAGGGAAAGCTTGCTTGGCCAATTTATTAGAATTCTATAACAAGATAACAGCAATCAAAATGGAGAGAGAACGCTGGGCCAACTGCATTTTCCTGAATTGTCAGAAAGACTTTAACACTGTTCCTCACAAGCAGTGGCGTGTTCCTGTACCCATCTAAGTAAGAAAGAGAGACTCCTATGCAAACTCGATAAACCGGCTGAGTACTGGAAAAAGTACTAAAGTACTTTAGTACTTACTTTAGTACATCCTGTTTGAGACCTGTAATTGAGTATGCTGTCCCGGCATGGAACCCTAACTAATGAAACACAAAACAAAACTAGAAAACGTCCACAAATATGCAAATAGGCTCGTTCCTGAAGTAATAGATGTGACCTATGAGGAAAGACCGAATGAACTGGACCTTACTACCCTGGAGGAAAGAAGAAATAGAGCAGACATGGTAACGACGTACAAGATACTAAGGAGGATTGACACAGTAGATATAGAAGCAATTTCAAATTAAGGAACAGCAGAACGAGAGAACACACTTGAAAACAGTTGTGTCACAGAGACGTCAGAAAGAACCTCTTCAGTGTGAGACTCGTAAATAAGTAGAAGACACTAGATGAGGAAATAGTCGAAGCCAACTCGAGACACAGTTTTATGATAGTCGAAAGGCTGGACTTGAGAGCTGAAGCTCGATCCTGCAAGCACAGCTACGTAAGTACACCCCCTCCCCCCCGTCCCACCATCCCAGGCATCAAGGGACGAGCCCTGTATGATATCCCAACCCTAATAATATTAAACAATGATATCAAACGTTAATAATACTAATAAAATAATAAAAGCAATGTAAATAAAGGAGAAACTTACTACACTTTCGTAGGGTTTGTATGAAAGTCAAGACCCAATATGTGTAAGTGTACTATCAACCCAAATATTCTCATGTACCCGAACATATTTAATATTAATAATAGTTTAATATCACAGTTACACATGTATTGAGTCTTTCCTTCACCTCCAATGTAAATAATAATAATAATAATTCACTTCATATTTTACAAAGTGCACTTAACACAAACCAAAACACTTAGCCTCGCTACAACTCTCTCTCCATCGTCCTCACACTACCATACACAACATGCCAGGGATATATACTTTTATATAACTATACACTATACTTTTCCGTCTATATACACATTCAAGTATTCTTTAGTTCAGGACTAACGTATTCTTGGTCAGTAAGCTATTGTGGTGGCCTTAATAACCCTCCAGAGGGTTGATAGATCTTATTAGCTATCTCTAGAGGTTGATAGGCCTTAACACCTAACCAGAGGGTGATAGGCCTTCAACCCAACTCCCACCGAAGCCAGAGTTGCAAAGCGCGATAGAAAGGTCAATTGTCCTCTTTCAACGAAGAGAGAATTATTTGACACTCATTTGACCCCAAAACAAATTATCTAAATTAGTTTGAGCACCAGCGCTGGCCACCATAACATCCTGTCACACTTCAACAATTGAAAAATCTCGCAAATGAATTTATATTTACACAAAATGACAAGTTGCAAAAATGTAAATTAGACCAGAATGGTTTTATCGGGTAAAACAACGGGTTATTTACAACTGATGTTGTAAATAAACATAATTACGGTATTGTTAGGGTAATGTTGACTCGTATGTTTGGATGAGGTGTTTTATGGGGATCTCTGAGGTCTGCTGGGAGAGTCCGTTCCTGTGCTGAGACCAACCACGTGTTATTGTTCTCTCTCTCTCTCTCTCTCTCTCTCTCTCTCTCTCTCTCTCTCTCTCTCTCTCTCTCTCTCTCTCTCTCTCTCTCTCTCTCTCTCTCTCTCTCTCTCTCTCTCTCTCTCTCTCTCTCTCTCTCTCTCTCTACTCTCTTCTGCTCTCTTTCTCTCCTTCTCTATCTCTCTCTCTCTCTCTCTCTCTCTCTCTCTCTCTTCTCTCTACTCTCTCTCTCTCTCTCTCTCTCTCTCTCTTGACGTTCAATGTTCACTACAGTACCAGTGCAAAAGGCCCATCAACATAATACTGGACTGTGCGTAGCAGACGGAGCTCCTCCTTGCACTCAAGGTACCTGGAGACCTGCACTCGTGTACCTGGAGACCTGCACTCAAGGTACCTGGAGACCTGCACTCAAGGTACCTGGAGACCTGCACTCAAGGTACCTGGAGACCTGCACTCAAGGAACCTGGAGACCTGCACTCCAGGTACCTGGAGACCTGCACTCAAGGTACCTGGAGACTGCACTCGTGTACCTGGAGACCTGCACTCGGTACCTGCAGACCTGCACTCAAGGTACCTGCAGACCTGCACAGACCTGCACTCAAGGTACCTGGAGACCTGTACTCGTGTACCTGGAGACCAGCACTCAAGGTACCTGGAGACCTGCACTCAAGGTACCTGGAGACCTGCACTCAGGGTCCTGGAGACCTGCACTCCAGGTACCTGGAGACCTGCACTCGTGTACCTGGAGACCTGCACTCAAGGTACCTGAAGACCTGCACTCAAGGTACCTGGAGACCTGCACTCCAGGTACCTGGAGACCAGCACTCAAGGTACCTGGACACCTGCACTCAAGGTACCTGGAGACCTGCACTCCAGGTACCTGGAGACCTGCACTCAAGGTACCTGGAGACCTGCACTCCAGGTACCTGGAGACCTGCACTCAAGGTACCTGGAGACCTGCACTCAAGGTACCTGGAGACCTGCACTCCAGGTACCTGGAGACCTGGAGGATCCACGACAACATGGTCTCCAGGTTTCCTGCATCACTCCAAGATGCAAGAAAATACATGAACGGTGAGAGTGAATGCACTCACAGGTGTAAGAGAAGCGTCATCAACGCATATGTAGGTTGAGGAATGCGTACATGTTCTCCATGGCAGCCCTTGCCCCATGGACCCCAATGAAGTCGCCAGATTATTATTGTGAGTAATAATTATAGCAATATAGAATTCGATGACGTATGATGCTACGGTGCCGTCTGACTGGGGATAATCAGGGTCCAGGGATTTATAATCACCAAATAAAGGTTTTAGTGATTTTTTAAATTACTTTTACTCAGGTCTATTAAAAGGATGAAAAGGTGATGGAACATATAATTTAGAGTACTTTGTAAACATTGGAGTGAAAATATGAGAATTCGTCCACTCATTTAATATAACAAGCCTCATACATCTTCCCTCATTATGAGAAATAATATTTCTGTCTCATCTGACAAACTGAGGTGTACTCTTGTAGTGTATCAATACAAGGGGCAACTATGGAGATTGTGCTCAGAAATATATACCATATCTTGATCTTGGTTATCTTGAGATGATTTCGGGGCTTTTTAGTGTCCCCGCGGCCCGGTCCTCGACCAGGCCTCCACCCCCCAGGAAGCAGCCCGTGACAGCTGACTAACACCCAGGTACCTATTTTACTGATAGTTAACAGGGGTACAGGGTGAAAGAAACTCTGCCCAATGTTTCTCGCCGGCGCCTGGGATCGAACCCAGGACCACAGGATTACAAGTCCAGCGTGCTGTCCGCTCGGCCGACCGGCTCCCATATTGGACACACCACGAATATGCAGGCGATGAGTCACAATAACTTGCCTGAAGTATGTTGACCAGATAACACACTAGAAAGTAAAGGGACGAAGACGTTTCGGTTCGTCCTGGACCATTCACACAAGTCGATGACTTGAGAATGGTCCAGGACGGACCGAAACGTCGTCGTCCCTTCACTTTCTAGTGTGTGGTTTGGTCACCATAAATACTCCAAATAGACCTGTTACACTTGGTTTGCAAGACGGAGAAACTAAGCAACACCACTCTCGATACCACAATACCATCCTAAATCACCAGGATATCCTTAACAACACCACAATCACCCCCCCCCCCACACACACACACCAGTGATCGAAGGTGGCCGATACGAACACTTGAGACCATAGTCATTCGAGAGCCGATACCAGTAATTAACATTCAGATGAATTCAACATCGTGTATACAACAGTTTGATGACCCGCCATTTGAGCGAGAGGGAAGATAACAGACTCTGTAGATAACCAGTAGCTGAGGCTAGGCAGTAATCACCTCGTTCCATTCTTCGTCGTCCTCTACGATTAAGGACTACTTAGTTGTTGAGGGGGGGGGGGGTTGTAGCCATGTTTATAAATGTTTATGTTTTTGCATGTAAACTTCGAATACCTGTGTCTTAAGTATACTTAATACCTGTGTCCTTAGTCTCCTTAATACCTGTGTCCTTAGTATCCTTAATACCTGTGTCCTTAGTATCCTTAATACCTGTGTCCTTAGTCTCCTTAATACCTGTGTCCTTAGTATCCTTAATACCTGTGTCCTTAGTATCCTTAATACATGTGTCCTTAGTATCCATAATACATGTGTCCTTAGTATCCTTAATACATGTGTCCTTAGTATCCTTAATACTTGTGTCCTTAGTATCCTTAATACCTGTGTCCTTAGTATCCTTAATACATGTGTCCTTAGTATCCTTAATACCTGTGTCCTTAGTATCCTTAATACATGTGTCCTTAGTATCCTTAATACATGTGTCCTTAGTATCCTTAATACTTGTGTCCTTAGTATCCTTAATACATGTGTCCTTAGTATCCTTAATACTTGTGTCCTTAGTATCCTTAATACATCTGTCCTTAGTATCCTTAATACATGTGTCCTTAGTATCCTTAATACTTGTGTCCTTAGTATCCTTAATACATGTGTCCTTAGTATCCTTAATACATGTGTCCTTAGTATCCTTAATACTTGTGTCCTTAGTATCCTTAATACATGTGTCCTTAGTATCCTTAATACATGTGTCCTTAGTATCCTTAATACTTGTGTCCTTAGTATCCTTAATACATGTGTCCTTAGTCTCCTAAATACCTGTGTCCTTAGTATCCTTAATACCTGTGTCCTTAGTCTCCTAAATACCTGTGTCCTTAGTATCCTTAATACCTGTGTCCTTAGTATCCTTAATACCTGTGTCCTTAGTATCCTTAATACCTGTGTCCTTAGTATCCTTAATACCTGTGTCGTTAGTATCCGTAATACCTGTGTCCTTAGTATCCTTAATACATGTGTCCTTAGTATCCTTAATACTTGTGTCCTTAGTATCCTTAATACCTGTGTCCTTAGTATCCTTAATACCTGTGTCCTTAGTATCCTTAATACCTGTGTCCTTAGTATCCTTAATACCTGTGTCCTTAGTCTCCTAAATACCTGTGTCCTTAGTATCCTTAATACCTGTGTCCTTAGTATCCTTAATACCTGTGTCCTTAGTATCCTTAATACCTGTGTCCTTAGTATCCTTAATACCTGTGTCCTTAGTATCCTTAATACCTATGTCCTTAGTATCCATAATACATGTGTCCTTAGTATCCTTAATACCTATGTCCTTAGTATCCTTAATACCTGTGTCCTTAGTATCCTTAATACCTGTGTCCTTAGTATCCTTAATACATGTGTCCTTAGTATCCTTAATACTTGTGTCCTTAGTATCCTTAATACCTGTGTCCTTAGTCTCCTAAATACCTGTGTCCTTAGTATCCTTAATACCTGTGTCCTTAGTATCCTTAATACCTGTGTCCTTAGTATCCTTAATACCTGTGTCCTTAGTATCCTTAATACCTGTGTCGTTAGTATCCGTAATACCTGTGTCCTTAGTATCCTTAATACATGTGTCCTTAGTATCCTTAATACTTGTGTCCTTAGTATCCTTAATACCTGTGTCCTTAGTATCCTTAATACTTGTGTCCTTAGTATCCTTAATACATGTGTCCTTAGTATCCTTAATACATGTGTCCTTAGTATCCTTAATACATGTGTCCTTAGTATCCTTAATACTTGTGTCCTTAGTATCCTTAATACATGTGTCCTTAGTATCCTTAATACATGTGTCCTTAGTATCCTTAATACTTGTGTCCTTAGTATCCTTAATACATGTGTCCTTAGTATCCTTAATACATGTGTCCTTAGTATCCTTAATACTTGTGTCCTTAGTATCCTTAATACATGTGTCCTTAGTCTCCTAAATACCTGTGTCCTTAGTATCCTTAATACCTGTGTCCTTAGTCTCCTAAATACCTGTGTCCTTAGTATCCTTAATACCTGTGTCCTTAGTATCCTTAATACCTGTGTCCTTAGTATCCTTAATACCTGTGTCCTTAGTATCCTTAATACCTGTGTCGTTAGTATCCGTAATACCTGTGTCCTTAGTATCCTTAATACATGTGTCCTTAGTATCCTTAATACTTGTGTCCTTAGTATCCTAATACCTGTGTCCTTAGTATCCTTAATACCTGTGTCCTTAGTATCCTTAATACCTGTGTCCTTAGTATCCTTAATACATGTGTCCTTAGTCTCCTAAATACCTGTGTCCTTAGTATCCTTAATACCTGTGTCCTTAGTATCCTTAATACCTGTGTCTTAGTATCCTTAATACCTGTGTCCTTAGTATCCTTAATACCTGTGTCCTTAGTATCCTTAATACCTATGTCCTTAGTATCCTTAATACCTGTGTCCTTAGTATCCTTAATACCTATGTCCTTAGTATCCTTAATACTGTGTCCTTAGTATCCTTAATACCTGTGTCCTTAGTATCCTTAATACATGTGTCCTTAGTATCCTTAATACTTGTGTCCTTAGTATCCTTAATACATGTGTCCTTAGTATCCTTAATACCTGTGTCCTTAGTATCCTTAATACCTGTGTCCTTAGTATCCTTAATACCTGTGTCCTTAGTATCCTTAATACCTGTGTCCTTAGTATCCTTAATACCTGTGTCCTTAGTATCCTTAATACCTGTGTTCTTAGTATCCTTAATACCTGTGTCCTTAGTCTCCTAAATACCTGTGTCCTTAGTATCCTTAATACCTGTGTCCTTAGTATCCTTAATACCTGTGTCCTTAGTATCCTTAATACCTATGTCCTTAGTATCCTTAATACCTGTGTCCTTAGTATCCTTAATACCTGTGTCCTTAGTATCCTTAATACATGTGTCCTTAGTATCCTTAATACTTGTGTCCTTAGTATCCTTAATACCTGTGTCCTTAGTATCCTTAATACCTGTGTCCTTAGTATCCTTAATACATGTGTCCTTAGTATCCTTAATACCTGTGTCCTTAGTATCCTTAATACCTGTGTCCTTAGTATCCTTAATACCTGTGTCCTTAGTATCCTTAATACCTATGTCCTTAGTATCCTTAATACCTGTGTCCTTAGTATCCTTAATACCTATGTCCTTAGTATCCTTAATACCTGTGTCCTTAGTATCCTTAATACCTATGTCCTTAGTATCCTTAATACCTGTGTCCTTAGTATATTCCTGAAGTTATCTCATTGTTGTTGGAGTTATCAGGGGGAAAGCGCCAAGCCATTACGACTATATAGCACTGGTAAGGGGTCAGGATAACGATTTGGGATGGAACGGGGAGGGGGGGGGGAAGGGTCCAAGTGAATGAAATATTACATCACTCTAAACGCCAGGAGGGCCCGAAACGTCGTCAATATAGGGTTCAGGAGGGCCAGAAAAGTCGTCATTATAGGGTCCAGGACGGACCGAAACGTCGTCATTATGGGGTCCAGGACGGACCGAAACGTCGTCATTATGGGGTCCAGGACGGACCGAAACGTCGTCATTATAGGGTCCAGGACGGACCGAAACGTCGTTATTATAGGGTCCAGGACGGCCCGAAACGTGTCATTATAGGGTCCAGGACGGCCGAAACGT